TACTCAAACTACGATCAAGGCAAAACCATAGTTTTGATGTAGATTGTTGTAATTTTTTACCATAAATTGTATGCCAAAATTAAGCCAACAAATAATCCTCATCAATCCTCATCCTTGAAGATAAAGTTTAATTAAAACATTGATTCATATTTTCTCTTTACCAAAAGTAATTTTTTTGCAAGGGGCTCGGAGGTCAAGTGAGTAAGACTCAAGAGTAGTTGACTCTGCACTTGAGGTTTCGTGTTCAAATCCCCTAATCACTCGGGTTAAGGCTATTGGGCTACATTGTTTCTCCCTATGAATCCAAGCCCAACTTAAAAGCTTATTGGGCTAATAACTCATCCACTTTTCACTTCACTAAGAAGCCCATACTGCCAAACAGTCTTTCACTTGCCAATCCTTAAACCCTCCCAACTCCCAAGTCTCTTCTCTTTCTTCTATCCACATACTCTGCTACCCGCCATGTCCCTCCTCCGCAGGACCTTCCCTCTCCTACCCCTCCGCTCCAAACCCCTGAACCCTCTCCTATCCCACGCCTTCCTTATTCTCAAACCCTCCTTCCCTAAACCACTTCCCAAACACACCTCCGTTTTCTCTTCTTCGTCTTCTTCTTCCACCTCCACCTCCTCTTCCACCACACCCATTTCCAATCCCAAGACCCCAATTGCCCAGACCCCTCTCCAATGGGTCACCCGAACCGGCTTCTGTGGCGAGCTATCCACCGCCGATGTGGGCAAACGGGTCACGCTTTGCGGGTGGGTCGCCCTCCACCGGGTCCACGGCGGCCTCACCTTCCTCAACCTCCGGGACCACACCGGCTCTGTTCAGGTCACCACTCTTCCCGATACGTTTCCCAATGCTCATTCCGCCATTAACAACTTGAGGCTCGAGTACGTCGTTGCCGTCGAAGGCGTTGTCCGGTCTAGACCGGCGATTGGTGAAGACGACGACTTGTTCGGAGGCACGGCCATGATGGGTTTGCTCTGTAAAGAAATAACTAAGGAGATAATTGAAAATCAAATACCAGTTGAGCAAAGAATGGTAAGTTTTGTGCAAGAAATTGATTAAAGAGATTCGAGGCAGTAACGGCTAGTTTTCAAACGAGGAGAGGAGGTTTTGAATATAAATGGAAGTTGTTTGACCGTTGGGGGATTGGAATTAAATAGTCGCAAGGGAGAGAAAAGGGGCTTCAAGCCGTTGGATTTTGAAAGTAAATAGCCGTTGAGGATCTTCTTTGATATAGTTAGGGTTGGGGGGTTGAAGAAGGGTGTTTGACTTGATTTTACTATGGAATTATTTGTAACATCAAGGATTATATTTTTGCAAATAAATAATAAAGATACAGGGAAATCATAAAAGACAACCAAATAGAAAGATACATTTGTGCACACCTTTCATATATATACTAAAAATTATACTCAAACTACGATCAAGGCAAAACCATAGTTTTGATGTAGATTGTTGTAATTTTTTACCATAAATTGTATGCCAAAATTAAGCCAACAAATAATCCTCATCAATCCTCATCCTTGAAGATAAAGTTTAATTAAAACATTGATTCATATTTTCTTTTTTACCAAAAGTAATTTTTTTTTAAGGGGCTCGGAGGTCAAGTGAGTAAGACTCAAGAGTAGTTGACTCTGCATTTGAGGTTTCGTGTTCAAATCCCCTAATCACTCGGGTTAAGGCTATTGGGCTACATTGTTTCTCCCTACGAATCCAAGCCCAACTTAAAAGCTTATTGGGCTAATAACTCATCCACTTTTCACTTCACTAAGAAGCCCATACTGCCAAACAGTCTTTCACTTGCCAATCCTTAAACCCTCCCAACTCCCAAGTCTCTTCTCTTTCTTCTATCCACATACTCTGCTACCCGCCATGTCCCTCCTCCGCAGGACCTTCCCTCTCCTACCCCTCCGCTCCAAACCCCTGAACCCTCTCCTATCCCACGCCTTCCTTATTCTCAAACCCTCCTTCCCTAAACCACTTCCCAAACACACCTCCGTTTTCTCTTCTTCGTCTTCTTCTTCCACCTCCACCTCCTCTTCCACCACACCCATTTCCAATCCCAAGACCCCAATTGCCCAGACCCCTCTCCAATGGGTCACCCGAACCGGCTTCTGTGGCGAGCTATCCACCGCCGATGTGGGCAAACGGGTCACGCTTTGCGGGTGGGTCGCCCTCCACCGGGTCCACGGCGGCCTCACCTTCCTCAACCTCCGGGACCACACCGGCTCTGTTCAGGTCACCACTCTTCCCGATACGTTTCCCAATGCTCATTCCGCCATTAACAACTTGAGGCTCGAGTACGTCGTTGCCGTCGAAGGCGTTGTCCGGTCTAGACCGG